GGCTTAAGCCAAGAATCAATATGACCTCAGTTTCTATGGGCCAGGTGTTCAGAAGTAGCTCAGCTAGACAAGGAGAGTTTCACAAGGTTTGGTCAGGTGTTCAAGTCAAGGCTAGAAGATCTGCTTCTAGAAAGTCTTACTTGCTTATCTGGCAAGTTGGTACTATTGAGAGGAGGCCTCAGTTTTTCCCAAGTGGATTCTATGTCCTCACAAGATGGTGACTTCCTCTACTCCAAGCAAGTAGCAACAGAAAAAGAGCCAGATATAAGCCATATCCTTTTTTCCCATTCTTTTCATGTGTTTATTGTTATTATAAAGTATACAGAGGGGTACCAGTTACATAAGTCAGTTAGAGTACATTTCTTTTTGGACAATGTCACCGCTTCACTTGCTCAAATCCTTTTTATGACCTAGCCTTTGAAGTCATATGACACCACTTCTATTTTATAATATTCTACTCATGAGCAGAAGACCAGGAAATCCATCCATAAGCCAGGAGAGAATTAGGATCCACTTTTTTTTCTTCCAGAGACTGACTTTTTTAATCTCATGAAGCTCATTTAAAAGTCAATTTCCTTAATTGAGATAATTCATAACCATCTCTATGTACATATTCTTTTTTTTTTTTTTTGTCGGTCGTGGGGCTTGAACTCTGGGCCTGGGCGTTGTCCCTCAGCTCTTCAACTCAAGGCGAGCGCTCTACCACTTGAGCTACAGCGCCACTTATGTACATATTCTTATTTCACAAGTGGCCTAATTTCAGCCATTTTCTTTATCAGATTATGCTCACAGTTTGAAAAGGATTTAAAAAAATGGTATATTGTATAAGCACCAAACTGCTCTGCAGGAGCTGAGTTAATATTAGTGAGTGCTTAAGCCAGTGCCTGGAATATGGCAGTGCTATCCAGAGTGATGACAGCTCAGGCCGCACAGTTTGTCAACCCTGAGGCAGGGGGGGGGCCTGCTCTGTCTGCGCAGAACAGAGTAGAGACTTCTAACTTACTCAAAGCATTTGCAGATCTTGCACACACACACACACACACACACACACACACACACACGAGTTCCCTACTCCAGGCCCCACCTATGTGAACAATTCAGAAACAGGCAGTTCATCACTTGTCCTACTTGGGTTCAGCTCTTTATTTTCCAGTTTCGACCTGGACTTCTATCTTTTGCCTGCTAGGTAGCATATGGATGCCATGGACTTGAGAAGGTTCCTCGTGCCCCTTCTTCAAAGAGCCTGACAGCTTCTGGGTAAACAAGGCTGGGAGCAGCCATTCCCAACTATGGGAATGGCAGGTGCAGACCTAAGGAGGCTCAGGTGGTGTAGAACAAATGAAAAGGGATGCAAGGCCTGTGGGGGTGGGGGCGTGTGTCCCACAGGGAGGGAGTTTGGAGAGGAGACTATACCAGCAAGCATTTTTGTAAATCTTATCCGTTTTCCAGATTTTTAAATATTTTTTATTGTTATTATAAAGGTGATGTACAGAGGGGTTAGAGTTACATAAGCTAGAGAAAGAGTTTATTTCTTTTTGAACAATATCACTCCTTCCCTTGCTCTCTCCCAGTTTTCCCCTCCTCTCCCCACCCACAAGTTGTATAGTTCATTTTCAACAGTGTCTAGTGAGTACCACAGCTGCATTTGTTCACCCTTTGTCCCTCCATTTCTGTGCCCTCCCAAAGACCGATAAATGAAAAAACAAAAGACAAAAAGAAAACAAAACAGTGAGGAAAAATCCCTCGTTTCCATTTCCTGGTGTTCATTTCGATCCATACTATTTTACATGATCAGATGCACATAGGCCTTTGTGTTTCTCTCAGACTTTTCTTTTACAAAGAAAAGGTCCCTGATGCATCCCCTCCTCCCATTTGGTTGCAAATAAAAATAAAGGGGAACAGAAGCCATCCCACAATATTGGACTTCCTTTTAGCTCAGAAACCAGACTGTCACCATCATACTTGGCAGCTCCTGGTTTTTGTGTCTGTGGTTTTTATCTCAAACTGGAGAGGCAAAGGAACCCAGGGATGGAATCCATGACCATGAGCTGAGAATCCCTCTCTCACAGTGAGGGCCCAGCCCACACATTCCCCATGTCTGGTCTTGGGAGGAACACGCAGGATCATTCCATCATCATGACGCAGTATCTGGCTGTGTAAGGAAAAGGGGATTTCACAGCTGGGCACATGTGGGCCATGGTACCAAGCTGAGCCACAAACCTGGTGGGTTACAGAGGTACAAGAAACAGAGTAACAGGTGGCTTTCCACATCAGATGTGACCCCACAACGCAGTAGCATTTTATTAAGGTCTCAGAAGAACAGGCTGTCTCAAACTCAACCCTAGCAACATTAGCAACGGCTGAATAGAAAGCTAGGCCCATGGTCCACTTGACGACTATAAGGATGTTCAAGCACTGTACTTGTAGGATCTTCCTTTAATCCCTCCCAACCCTATGAGCTCAGACAGTTATTGTATCCTGCTCATATGTGGGATGAGCATAAGCCCCTTACTGCACAGTGAATTGACAGCCAGTCTCCTGAACCCAGGAAACTATTAATAAGCATGTATTTTTTACTGTGCCCATGTAGGCTCAGATGCTCCTTGGAAAATATCTGCCCTATGTGAGCCCCAGTCTCAACACTAGACTTGGGAAGTCATATCTTGAGAGAGTGGGTAATCCAAAGACATCATGTAGTAGGGTGGCAGGGCCCAATCTGATCCTTGGTTTTAGAAAGCTATTCAGGGCCACAACCTATGTATCTACTACCCCATCAGAAAGCTGCAGTTATTTAAAAATAGAACAAAGGAAGCCGGGGGCACTGGTGGCTCATACCTGTAATCCTAACCACTCATGAGACTGAGATCTGAGGATCACAGTTTAAAGCTTACCTTGGCAGGAAAGTCTGTAAGACTCATCACAAATTCATCACCAAAACAAAAGCCAAAACAAAAATAATAATTAAAAAACCCAGAAATGAAGCTGTGGTTCAGTGGTAGAATACTGGCCTCAAGCTAAAAAAATAGCTCATAGACTATCCAGGCTCTGAGTTCAAGCCTAGGACCAGCAATTAAAAAGAATAAGTATTATAGGTCTTATCCTCCAAGCTGGCTCCTAAAGTGTTAGGATATAAAGTCTCTTGCAACATGCTACTTAAGAAAGGGGACTATCAGGTGGATCTTTGGACCTACGGCTGCCACAAAGGTGGTATGGTGAAGGTTGAGGAGTCTCTTCCTACATCCTCCCACCATTGGTAGAATAGGCTTCCAGTCCAGACATGCCATCTGGATTGTGCATCTGGAGGAAACTTCTTTCTATGCTACATCAGAATCTCCCACACTGTCCTCTCCACCTCCAACTCTCCTTTCCCTCATCCTGAGTATACCTTGATGTCTAGTCAAGGCTCAAGATGAGCCCATCTGCTCTCCAGTTTAAAAGTCAGATTATCCACTCAGCACCCCCTCCCTCCATGTCAGCGCACACACACACACACACACACACACACACACACACAGAGTCCCTTCTCAGCAGCACCTCAGACCTGACCAGCACATTCAACCCCTCATAAACACTAGGCAGCTCCGGCTGGGAGGGGCCTGGGAGTATGGCAAAGGGAAGAGAGATGAGGACATGGGTGGTGAGAGGGCGCTGGCAAAGGAAGTGGCACTGGGTGTTTAGCCACAAGCACACTTTCCAGTCTCTAGAGCAGCAAAGCAGTAGAAGCAGGAGGTGAGTGGGTGACCTCCCTTTTATTGCTCATCAGGCCACCTCAGACGTGAGACTAGTTGCTCTTGTTGGACCTTAATTTCCTCCTTAGGACAGAACTGGATTTCCCACAGTGCTCTGCATGCTCCGTGCCCGAAGCACATTTACAACTTGTCCCTGGAACAGCTGGAAAAGCTTCACCAGGCTGATCTCCTCCTCCTCCCTTCCCCTCCCTGTTCCTCCTCCCCCTCCTCTTCTTCCTTCACTACCTCCTCTTTTCTCTTTCTAGGATGTAAAGTTTTATTCAATATTGTTTGGAGGGCTGCTTTTGCACAAGGCATATTTTTACCTAATTGTTCACAAGGCAAGATATTGACCTGTATGTTAGTTATAGTAGCTAGAACTTGATCACCTTGAATGAGTGATTTATATGTGCTCTTCTGTCTAACCACCCAGCCCTTGCTATAGCCCCCAGCCACAACCTCAGTCCCCTGCTGAATTCTTTATGAGCTCCTCACAGTAACCTTAATGAGGAACTATTATTCCTCTTTTACAGTTGAAAAACAAAAAAATCACTCAATGAGTGATTTAAAAAACACTAAAAATGGTATTGTCTTTAAGTAGTTGTACAAAGGAGGTTTCCACTTAACAAAGTGGTGTATGTGTGCAATGCATCTTCATCAGTATCACCCCTTTCTCCATTCTCACCCCCCTTCGACCCACCCCTGCCCTTACTTTTCTTAATTTTGTGGTGAATTCTTGACTGCTTTCTCCCCATCTTCTCCCCTTCATCCGGCTACCCCTCTCCTCATGGATTTACACCCCTCTTGTTAGCGACCCAGGGATTTTTGACAAGTCCTTGGGCCCAGGACTTGTCGCTCCAACCTTTGGGGTTTCTCGAGTGAAATCTGCTACCCAATCCAAAACAACCTCCAGACTTCAGCTCTGACCTTGTGATCCATTTTACTTAAGTTGGTGAAGGAACCACTTTGCTCAAGGACCTAGTGTTCCAAGAGATGAAGGGGGTGGGACTCGTGGGGTTCTGGCTATTCTTGGCTTTCTGGGATCCCCCAGAACTTGAGATCACGGCTCCCCAGAAGCCCGCAGCCTGCGTGGGGGCAGGTTGGGCACTTCCTCGTTACCTCGCGCCCAGGGACCCAGCTCCCGAGCTGCCACTGGTCGGTCGGTCAGGGGCCAAAGGGGAGTGTCGCAATCGCCACCCGCCTCCTCTCCGCCCTGGCACCCGGTCCCCTCCCAGATGAGCGCACCCGCACAGCGCGGCGGGGCGCCCGGCAATGTCCCCCGAGCGCGCACACACGCTGGCCACCGACCCGCCGCCGCGCAGCCCGGGACCGCCCAACCGCACTCACTTCCCTTTCTTCTCGGACGTCAAGGGCGACCACCGGCTGGTGCTGAGCGTCCTGGAGACCACCGTGCTGGCGCTCATCTTGGCCGTGTCGCTGCTGGGCAATGTCTGCGCCCTGGTGTTGGTGGCGCGCCGACGGCGCCGCGGTGCCACCACCAGCCTGGTTCTCAACCTCTTCTGTGCTGACCTGCTCTTCACCAGCGCCATCCCGCTGGTGCTCGTGGTGCGCTGGACCGAGGCCTGGCTGCTGGGCCCGGTGGTCTGCCACCTGCTCTTCTACGTGATGACCCTGAGCGGCAGCGTCACCATCCTCACGCTGGCCGCCGTCAGCCTGGAGCGCGTGGTGTGCATCGTGCGGCTGCAGCAAGGCGCGCGCGGCTCGGCTCGGCGAGTGCAGGCGGCGCTGCTGGCCTTCATCTGGGGCTACTCGGGGCTCGCCTCGCTGCCCCTCTGCGTCTTCTTCCACGTGGTCCCGCAGAGGCTGCCGGGCGCCGACCAGGTGAGAGCCTGCCTGGGAGTAGGGCGACAGGTGTGCGTGGGGAATGGGGGGGGGGAAGGGGGAGCCCATGGAAGCGGAGAGCTGGGGCCATGGCAACCATCACCGCAGGTCAGGGTACTTGCACTTAGTCATTGTGCCAACCCTCCAATGTAGATCAATGCGCTCTCAAACTTCTTAAGTGCCATCCCTCAATTTTATCGTTATTTATTGAGTGTCAGTACTGGGGCTTGAACTCAGGGCCTAGGCGCTGCCCCTTAGGTTTCTTATGTTCCCTTATTTGCTCAAGTGCTCTGTCACTTGAGCCACACCTCCACTTCCTTCTTTGGGGGGTACATTGGAGATAAAAATTTCACAGGCTTTCCTCTCCAGGCTGGCTTTGAACCAGGGCCTTCAGATCTCAGCCTCCTGAGTAGCTAGGATTTACAGGTGTGAGCCACTGGTGCCTGGCTGAACCCCCGAAATTCTTACAAAATGAGATGTTAGGTAGTTGAATCAAGCCAGATGGAATTTGAGGGGCTCACCTGGTACTCAGCTCTGTTTTCTGGCCGTGTGTTACTGTCACTCCTGCTTCACAGACAAGGAAGCAGGGCAGAGGAGTGACAACTTGGGCAGAGTGGCTATTAGTCATCCTTTCGTTCCAGCCAGCCATTGTCTCCTGTCCACAAGCGCTGGTCTGGTTAGGGCCTAATTTAGGCCCTAGCTTTGAAAGCGCTCAGGCAGGAGAAAGAGCCCCCAGACCCCATGCTGCCTCTGAGGGGCTCAGGGCTTCCCCTCCCCATCCTCAGTTTTCCCAACTGCTCCAACGGGGGCGGGACGGGGTGGGGGTGGGGCGGCGGGGATGACCCTAGCCCACAGAGTCTGATAGAGGAGTCCCAGGTGCTTTAGCTATATATATATATTGTCAGTCATGGGGCTTGAACTCTGGGCCTGGGCGCTGTCCTTGTGCTCTTCAGCTCAAGGTGAGCCAGGTGCTTTAGCTTTATAGCTTTACTGGGAGTTTTTAATTAGGGTCATGGTGGGGGGTGGGGGTGTTCAGGATGCCACTAAGTCTCCAAGCAGAGTACTCCTGGGTCGGATCACCTCCACTCCCATGATCAATCGATCGGGAATTCAGGGAGCCAGGTCTGCTAGCCGTTGCAGCGGGTCCAGCGCTGCAGGCTACGCGCACCAAGATCCCCGAGACATCAGGTCGGGATGCCGCTCAGAGGTGGACGTTCCTTCATCTTTCTGGCTTGGTCGCCCTAGGTCTAGGTTGGTGCTCATGACTAAGTGGAGTTGTTGCTCCCCTCCCCCCTCCCCCCTCCCCTCCCCCCTCTCCAACTTTGGCTGGGGTTGCAAATGCTCAACCCAGGTCCATAAGAAAGAGTGGGGTGGCTAAACAGATCCAGCAGCCACAAGAACTGCCTGAAGAGACGCTCTGTAATGGGCAGTGTCACTGGGGGAAGGTTGGAGATGCACACAGGAAGGGTGGTACTCTCAGCTGCCAGCTCCTGGCTGCTCAGAGTGAGGGGAAGGGGGAAAGGGGATGGGAGGGCAGACCCGTGGTGTGGAGCATGCAGGAGGCGGCTTTGTGGGCAAAGCACTATCCTTACACTTAGACACACACACACACACACACCATGCTTACAGTTTTTTTCCTTGTAGTTTATTTCTATATATTGTCATTAAATGACTAATGAACTGGAACTTATTATCAGGCCTGTGGCACTAATCAAAGGACATATAAGGACTTACAGATGTGTCCAAAAGCGCTAGGATTGGCTAAGCTACTTGGGGTTATTGGCCTGGGGAAACCAAGGGCTCTAGCTCAATGGACAGACTTGTCCTTAGCCCAGACAAGTCTGAATGTCAAGGTGGCCCACATAGATTCTTCTAGAGTAAGTGGAAGCCCCAGGCTCAATGATACACCAATGAGATCAGCTTGGAAGGTAGGTTCTGCCATCAGTTCCCTCATTATTGTTGTTTAAGTTTTTCTCTCATTGTGTCAATGTCTTTGTTGTAGTTTCACAGAAGTTGAGATATTTCCCCCTCCATTTTTGTCTTATTAGAAAAAGAACGAGGCCAGGGAATTTAGACCAAATAGAACATCATTTCAATTTCCAAAAGTGCATTTTGTACTCTTTTTACAAGTGTTTGGGGTACAATCCTACGGAACTGGCAAGTCACCCTAAGAAAGGAGATGCTAATCCTCTCCCAGCCAAAAGCCCAGCCTAATGCTCTGTGCCAACATGGAATCCAGCAATGAAATAAGAAGGCCTGTGCAGATGGGGCCTTCTGTTTCTTGTCTCCTTTGACTCCTGCTCAGGCACATGTGTGTTGAGTGGTGGTGCAGACCCTTCTCAGCATCTCCAGAATGGCAAGCATTGAATTGCAGAGTGACTGTGGAGATCAGTGCTGGGGGGGGGGGGGGGGCACATCCTCCTGCCTCCCCTCCCCTCCTTTCCTTTCCTCTCCTGTCTTCTCTTCTTCTCGCCTCTCCTCTCCTTTGCTCTCCCTCTTCCCAAATCATCCTGCTCCTTCCCATCTCCCTCCCCTCACATCCTCCTACCCCCTTCCCTCTCCCTCCCTCCCTCCTTCCCTGTGACAGTATACAGTAGTGTCCTTTTAGCCAAGGCCTTGCTTACTGCAGGTTTAGGCAGCCTTGGGTTCAGTTACCTGTGGACACCTGAGTTCAGAAAAAATTAAAATGGTCACTGCCTAAGAATGGAACCCTTCATTTCCCCCCTTGACTTATGGTCCTGAGACACAATCTTGTGGCTCTGGCCCAAAACTAAACTCCAACTGTTCTCGATCTTGAATGGGTTCTTTTCTTTTCTAGTCCTTCTCTGACCTTAGCCATACTATTAAACAACAATAACAATAACAATCAGTCCATTTTTCTTTTATTGAGGTGTATGTGGAGTGGTTGGGTAGGATGCTTGGAGACTTCCCACGTTTCCCACGGTCGTCCAGGGCAAAGGGGTCTGGTGTGGGAGCAGTGGATCCAAGCAGCAATGCCGTCCACCTTAAGGGCAGTGGGTGTGGCCAGTAGCACCATGTAAGGTCCCTTCCACCATGGTTCCAGAGATCTCAAGTTGTGCCTTCAAACAAACAGTCCCCTGGTTTAAACAAATGGGGGGTAGGAATAGAAGCAGAATCATATATTGCTCTAAGCTGGGGCCACACACTTTTGTGGACAAGCTGTAGATAGTCAAGTTTACATAGAAATTCAGTATCACTCAAGGGCTGAGAAGGTGGCTCAGTGGTAGAGCGCTTGCCTTGCATGCCTGAGGCCCTGGGTTCGATTCCTCAGCACCACATAAACAAAAAGAAAAAAGCCGGAAGTGACACTGTGGCTCAAGTGGTAGAGCGCTAGCCTTGAGCTGAAGAGCTGAGGGACAGTGCCCAGGCCCAGAGTTCAGGCCCCACGACTGGACCCCCCCCCAAAAAAATTCAGTATCACTCAAATCAGCAAGCAACTCAGTCTGGAGGCTAGGGATAAGGGGGGGGGCAGTGTCCATACATTATTTCAAAAGGAATAAAGCCAAGCTGATAGGGTGAATTTCTTACTCTAAACAGGGCAAAAGGAGCGATACCCAGTCTGCGCCAGTCTCCAAAGCCAATTTAGTTAAGGTCCCTTTTAGAGTCCGATTCATTCTTTCTAACTGCCCTGAACTCTGGGGTCTATAAGCACAGTGCCAATCCATCCCCAGAGCCTCGGCTATTCCCTGACCTACTTTTGAGACGAAGGCCTGTCCGACCCGATGGTGGATGGGAAGCCATACCTGGGTAGGATTTCTTCCAGGATTTTCTTAGCCACAACGTTCGCGGTCTCATGCTTTGTTGGGTAGGCTTCAACCCATCCTGAAAAAATGTCTACAAAAACTAGCAAATATTTATATCCAAATTTTCCAGTTTTAATTTCTGTGAAGTCTACTTCCCAATACACACCTGGCCTATCTCCATGGAGGCAAGCTCCTTTTGTAACCGGTTGATTGGGGGCATTGGTGAGCTGACAGGCTTTACAATTTTTAACAATGTCCTCAATGAGTTGATTTCCTTGCCTAATTTTTACTTCTGAGTGCCAGAGCAAGTCCTGCATTCTTCGGGTTCCCATGTGAGAGACCCGATGGATTCTCTTAAGAATCCCCTTGCCCAATCTTTGTGGCAAGATAAGTTTCCCCTCACCAGTTTTCCACCAGTCTTTGTTTCCTTCTCTGTCCGGGGGTTTATAGGCCATGGGAATTTTCTTTATCCACTCCAAGTCTTCTTGGGGGTACTGAGGCTCAGGAGGCAAAGCTCATGGCCCTGGGTCTACTAGAGTCAGTACTTCCGCTCTGGGCTGGAGGGCCGCCTCCTTAGCTGCCTGATCGGCCTTTTTAGCAGAGGCTCTATAGCCCAGCCAAGAGTCTTTAAGAGCCTAGCCGTTCCCTTTAAGCAGCTATTTTGGTCTGGAGCGACTATCAACAAGTCATCCACATATTGCAATAAACTTATACTCACTCAGGTCCTCATGTAGCGCCTCGTTGAAGATGGTAGGTGAGTTCTTAAATCCTTGAGGCAGCCTGGTCCAGGTCAATTGACTACTATCCCAATTTCGGGATCATACTAAGTAAATGCGAAGTAGCTTTGGCTCTGTGGGGCTAAGGGTAGGCTAAAAAAAAGCATCTTTCAGCTCCAATACAGTATACCACACATGGCTCGGTGGCAGGGAGCTCAACAGGGTATACGGGTTAGGAACTGTTGGGTGAACGTCCATTACTCTCTTGTTGATTTCTCTCAAGTCTTGCACTGGTCTATAATCATTTGAGTTTGGCTTTTTGACAGGCAATAGCAGGATGTTCCAGGCTGAATGGATAGGCTTTAAGACTCCTAGATCTAGCAATTTTCTAATATGGGGGAGTGATCTCCTTCTTTGCTTCTAGTAACATAGGGTACTGGTGAACTTTTACTGGGTCGGCCCCAGCTTTGAGTTCCACAAAGACTGAAGGCCGGTGTTTTGCCGGTCCCATTCCTCCAGT